GATATCGAGAGGGTGAGAGGGAGATGGTGGACTGAGAAGAGGAAGAAGAAGAACTCTCTCTCTCTCATATGCCAGGTACTAACCTGTGAAGGTGGCGCTCTGCTGCAGGTACCTTGAAGACGAAGCTGGAGCGATGACGCTGCAGGTAGGTCCCTCTGGCCTCCGCGCAATCTCTCTCCCTATAATACTACTCTAGCTATGGACCCAGCGCTGAAGACTACAGCTAACGCTACTAGCGCCCAACGCTGAAGACTACTGCTAACGCTACTACTACTCCTGCAGCACTCCTCCAGAGTGCTGCTGCCGAATCCTGAAGACTACCTCCTGCCTCCTGAACTGCACGACTTTCACATGAAGTGCCTGGGAAGTACCTAGGAACTACCTGCCGGCCTCCAGGGCGGGCCAGTCCTATATAGTGCTGGCCCGTCCAGGAGGCTGCTCTTGCCAATGCCTCAACGTGCCAGACCCTGGCGTTGAAGCTCAAACAAAGGTTGTCTTGAAAATAGGCCAGAAATGGCCTGAGCTAAAACCCTGGTCTCGTGCCTGAGTTTCGAGGCAGACCGAACTCATGAGGGCCCGGAAATGGCCCTCAGTTTCAGGCTGAAAACACTCAGGGCTTGAAAGGCCGTGATTTAGCCTGAAACTACACAGGGCCTGTAGGCCCTTGTTTTCAGGCTTTCAGGCTGAAACAACACAGGGCCTGTAGGCCCTTGTTTTCAGGCTTTTGGCCTGAAAACGTCACGGGCCTGGAAATAGCCCGTGCTGTGATAAGCTTAGATCCGTACCGCGCGGCTTGCCGTATCCCTGAGGAAAAATCCTGCGGAAGCCCCGAAGTACGGACGCAGATAGAAAGGTTTTTTTTTTTCTTTTTGCTTTTGTTCTATTTTTGAAACGGCTTTTTCATTTTTGTTGGTTAATAACTTCCGCGCGGGCTAATAGCGGCCACGGTATGAAAAGCAAGAAACAGTTTCGGTTGGGACCTTTTTTTTTTCGCGCGCACGTCTAAGCTCTGAATTCTTTGCGCGCCTCGCACCCCCGTTTCTTGCTTTGCATCCCCGCGCCATCTTCCTTTCTTGCTGCGCGCGTTTCCCTCCAGCTGGACCCTTCGTCTTCCCCTACGCCCAGCTTGATCCTTACCCCGTCTTTCTCCGCGAAGTGATTGGCTGTGTAGTTCGGATGCTCGGATTAATGTGGAAAGCGGGAAACCACGCACAACTTGGACGAACACCCCAATCATGTAGCCATGCAATCCCGCGGATCGAACCCCCTAACTCCCCACCTCTCTCTCTTGTCCTGCTCATCTACACCGTGCGCTGCCCGCACCTCGCGTTGTTAACCCGCCGCCTCCCGCGCTATAAATTTGCACAACCCTCTCCTCTCCCTCTCTTCGATCTTGGCTGCAATGCTGCGCGAGAGTCCGCGGTGCCAAACAGGCTCGACGAGCCCAAGGACGGGCGGAGTGACGACGTGGGGTGGGCCCCGCGGTAGTCTCGGGGCTAAGCAGTCGAAGGGACTGAGCAGTGGTGGGGATTGGACACCGGTCGCGGCAGGGCCTTGTGGCTATGGTGGTCGGTGGTCTTGGGAAGTCTTGAAGGCTGCGCCTGGGGGCGGCAGCTGATTGAAATTTTTGTGTACAAGAAGGACTCACTTTCATCTCCATTGCTGCTTTGCCCATGCAGGTCATGTGTGTGAAGCCCCGAGTGATGGGAGCTGGTTGTGCACACGAGTGATGTCGAAGGTTCATGGATGATTAGATGTCTTGTCAAGGGTTGTTGATTGCATGTATGTATGTGTGTACGTACTCGTCCGGGCGGGGATGGGGAAACTGAATTGGGGGACCGCCTGCTTAGGAGTATGAGTGTGTTGATCCGGTTGTTCCCCTCCCCTCGACGGCCTTTTCTGCGCTCTCGCGCGATCTTGGCGCAACTCTCTCTCTCTCTCTCTCTCTCTCTCTCTCTCTCTCTCTCTCTCTCTCTCTCTCTCTCTCTCTCTCTCTCTCTCTCTCTCTCGAATGCTTTCCTTTTTGAACTGATAGTCTTCGCTTTTGGAGTTTCTCGCCCCCGTACCGGTGACATCAACCGCTTGCGTCCGCGCGGACGTCGACGTCCCCGCGAGGGGAGAGAGCTTAGACTTTGTCGTCTTCCCTCGACGCACCCACCTTAAAGAGAGAAGAGTTGCGACGACTGTTGTATGGATTCGGTGTTGGTTCGGATGACCGGGAACGCGGGACCTTGCCCGTGTTCATCACGTACCTCCGATCGTCTTATCTCGCTATCGACCTTCCCCATCGCAGATGACGACAACGTCTATTGCGATGCGGATGTACGACGCGCGCTGAGGCGGATGGAGCAAGTGTGTTGGCAGGACCCGCCTCGAGCTTGTGAGATAAAGGGGGAACGGGTATGTTTTGATTGATCGTTTTGATTCCCCAACTCTAATATTGCCTTATACGGGTTTGACGGTGTTGCCCTGGGCGGCCGCTCACGCCGCGTGGCAACCGCAGTTTGATTGTCACTGGTGTCGCCAGGGGGACTCGTGTTCTTGGCGACGGCTGGTCCTGGGTTACGAGGGAGCGACACGTTTCCCCGAGCTTTCCCGTAGTGCGGGGGCGCTGCCCGCGCAATTTCGAATTCAGATGCCGGCGAGTCCTCCCGCCGCTTTACCCTCCCGGAAACTTTCGCGCGGACTCTGTGAGTCCGACGCCGAGGCTTGAAGGCCTCGAACCAACCACCTCCGCAGCAAAGACCCGAGGGTTYGGCCACTTTGTGAGGCCGATGATGAGGCCTGAAGGCWTCAAACCCGCCACCTATCCCCCAAACCCSTGACRGCCRAAGTYTTGTCCTCCRCCGCCATGRCCCTCTCCCCTTGATGCCTTTTTCCGTCCCGATGCATGACGACAGTTCATTTTTGCGGAAACCTTTTTTTAGTTTATCGTTTCGGAGTGATCCGACCCCCACGGGACTCCACGACGACAGTTCGACTCCGGGGAAAAGCTCTGGAACGAAACGAGGGCCTCCCGTTCCGTCCGGGAGACTGAACCCTTATGGCCAAAAATCCTCGGCCACGCCCCTCCTAAAACTCTGATCGGCGACTCCGTACGGGACACCGCGAGGGGGCGTGAGGTTGGTATCAGAGCTGATTCGTTTCCGCTCCAAGGTTTTCCTAGGACGATTACCCTGTTTTAAAGTTCTTCTTTTCCTTTTGATACTTTTATTAGATTTTTCGCATTTTCGAGTAGGCTGGCTCCCCGTCGAAGGAGGCCCGCGAATAGCAATCAGAACCGAGCGAGAGGCCCGGCTCGAAACCCGGCTCCCGCGATGGTGGAACCCGGAATTGGGGGTGAAAACGACGGTGACAACCACGCGGGGATGGCCAATCATCCCCTGTACTTTGTACCTCCTCCTTCCGAAGTTTCCATTTTCTTCGAAGATGACACCGACCCTCGTACCTGGCTAGCGGCCTTGAAAGCCTAGGGCTGGTCGGATCAGTTGCTCCGAGAGCAAATACCCGAAAGGTTAGCCGGAACCACTTTTGAGTGGTATGGACATAACCCCTTCACTAATTGGGCAGCCTTCAAGAGGAAATTTCTCGATAGATTTGATCACATCACACCGGGTCAATGCCTCCGTTTAATAAAGGAATACACGCAGCAGCCTCGGGAGACCTTGGCCAGATATGCTGAACGTTTTACGTTCTTAGCCGAACGCTCCGGGGTGGACGAGAAAATGGTACGGACTGATTTCGTCAGAGGACTGTCAGATTCTCGTCTGCGAAAAAAGATCCGCAAGAAATGCAACCCTATAGAACATACCCTGACGGAGCTAATTCAGTACGCAATTAAGTACGGGAAAGAAAATTACGATGTGGGCCTGGACTCAGAATCCGACGAAGATGACCCTTTGGGTGTTCGACGCCATAGCTACTCCGCTACGACACGAATGTTCGAAGATCGCTTCGGGTTGGGTCTGGCAAAAAAGGGCATGGATTGGAAAGCTTCTTCCTCTGCTTCGGCCTCCCGTCGCCCTAGTCAAGTACAAGGAGGTCGGGGTGAGGAAGAAATGTCCATGAAGGAGGTCGCGGCACAATTAGTTACGGTAGTGGCCCCGTTGACAGAGTTTGTTCAGGGCCTGCAGCGGCAACGCCTAGCCGCCGCTCAACGGCAACAAGCGGCTATGGCTGTCGGGGCCCCTATGATAAGACCGGCCGTGGCCGGGGCTGTCTAGTCCCTACGCTGTTATAACTGCAATCAGCCAGGTCACCTTGCGAAAGATTGCCCGAAACCTCGAGTTCAGGGTGGGCCCGCTGGGCCTTCCCAAATCCCGTTGGCCGCTCCAACCGCTGCAGGACAGGGGACGGTGGCCACGGTGATGGATACCGGGGCAACGGAAATGGTGACCCCTGTGGCCACCGAGATAGGGCCCGATGAATACATGGCTGCGGCGATGTTCGAACCCGGGACCATCGGAGTGATACGTCACGTCCAAAGAATTACTGAGGAAAGCGACCTCGGCCCGTGGAGACCAGGGTTCGAAGACCTTGCGGCGCCTGGTCCTGAATACAAGGATGGCCATATCGATGTATTGGATGCCTTCAAAGCTCTGGATCTTCGGATCCCTGTCCCTATTCCCTATCTGCTAACCATTTTCGAAGCGGCTAATGAAAAGTTGATCGAACGGTCCCTCAAAAACAGACGCCAATTCGAGGAAAGTCGAAAGGGCAAAAAGCCGGTCCTACGGGACCTACCCACAAACGAGGAGTCGCAGCCCTCGACCTCAAAGGTGCACGAAGCCGACCGGATAGGAATGATCCAGACCGTAGACTCTGCCTCGGAAAAACCGGAGGTATTCCTCCGAGCCTATCCTATAACCTGGAAAAGCGTTGAGTGTGACTGCGAGGTCTGGGGAAACCCCTCGGCCGTCATCCTAGACTCGGGATCGTCGGCGGTCGCCATTTCTTGGAGATTGACGAAACAGTTGGGAAGGGAAGGACAGGTTCGGAAAAAGCCATCGAAAAGAACGGAAGTGGAACGTCACCTAGTCAGGGCGGACGTTAAGATTATCTACTCGTCGGGGCATTGGCCTCAAGCCAATGGCCTGGTAGAGAACGCCAACCGATTGATTAAGACCGCACTTAGACGGAATATCACTGCGGGAGACACCCGGCCCTGGCCGGTCATTGTCGATCACATCTTGGCCGTTTATCGGGGCACCCCACACGGTAGTACCGGGGTGTCCCCCCTTCAACTGAGAACCAATAGTGTCCCTCGGGTGCAATTGTCCCCCTTAGTAGGTACGGAAGTTAGAGCAACACGGGCCCAGAGCCGAGATAAGGCCCGCCACTACATGGACTTGATGGTTAGGGCCTATCCCCCGTTAGCTCGCCGTCGACAGCGGGCCCTAGATCGGACACATCAACGGCATATCCGTGACGACGAGAATCGACACACGTCGGCGGGACCACTGCCTCGCTATAAAATAGGGGACTTGGTGCAGGTACGGAAATCCGCGCCCTCCTCCAAAGTCCACCCACGCTACACAGACATTTACGAAGTGACGGAAGTTGGCGCACGAGGCCAGCACTCCGTGAAGCTGGTCCCCAGGCACAACTCGCAGGGCCGCCCGCTGACGAGGCACGCTGCTGCGCTCCGGCCCTTCCGGCCATCGCTAGATCTCGTGTGGTCACCTATCCTGCCCGAATCACCTTCTTCATCCCTCTCTCGTGCTCCTTCGTCCTCCCCTCCTTCTTCCCCTTCTCTCCGATCGGCGTCGTCGGCATCCGCGGAAGACCTTGCCTCGCAGGATGAACCATCGCCAACAGGAGCATGAACTGCTCGAGCACTTCCAGCCGCCCATTTCGGACGCTCTTCTCCGGAACCGGTTCAACGACGATCGGCAGCTGCGCTTCGACATTCAGCAGGTAAACGTGCCAGCACCCAGCGTTGCTGACTTGGCGGTGTACTCGCTCCTCGCGCAGCGGGTGACGTACGCGGGTGTCTATGTGGACATATCGCCCGTGCCTGGCCAGGAATCCACGCGAGTGTTCATCGAGTTCCGAGCCATCCAGGTGTCTACGAACTTTGTGCACAGCATCGCTACGTTCATCGGGGATTTGACCGTCTTGCCCGGGCACGATCCGGAGACGACGTACAGGTTCTTGCGCGATTACGCCCTTCAAGTGGCGAGATCAGTGGCGCGAGTGCAGGCGAGGGGCACTCATCGCTTCACTGCATACGAAGTACTTCTGCGGCGGACTCCGGAGGGAGCACTTGCATTGCTGCCGCAGCTTCCCGCACTCCTTCCTCCCGCCGAGCCCCTCAACATCCAAGCTGTCCCTCCCCCTTTTCTCCAAAATTCTCCCTTCTTCTCTTACACTACCCTCCCTTATCAGCTGACACAGCTTCCTTATCCTATGCGCAACTTTCCTGAGTACCTGGTGGAGCTGACGGACGTGGAGCAGTTGCCGCCCCCCGACGAGGACGCGTGGGAGCTGCATCGGGCGCTGTATTCATCGGTGGTGCTGGGCATGTTCACATTCTTCGTGGAACACGAAGTTCATAACGTCGGTGAGTTCTTCCACGTATACTACGTGATCTTCAAGCCGAAGCCGGAGCGGAAGGAGGGAACTGTGGCGCTTTATCCTTTCGGGAGAATCGGAACGAATCGCCCGGGGCTCTTACAGCTCATTCACATCGAGCTGCTGTCCATTGCGCAGGTAGTCGCCGCGGAAGAAGAAGACTTACAGCTCAGACTATGGACCGCCTCTGCTCCGTGCAGATCGTATAACGCGGCGGTGATACTTAATTACCTGGCGCGTAAGGGGGAGTCCGTGGTGGACTTCGGGCACGAAGATAAGCCGCTGCGGCCTCCATCATCGTATCCAAAGCCGGCGGCCCTGAAGGCACCAAGAAAGAGAACCGTCCCGAAGCAGCGACGAAGTCCATCGCCGGAAGCTTAGGCCAGTCGAGTGGGGCCTGTCGAGGAGGTCGTCCAGCCTGCGCYGGTGTGCGAAGTCGATCCGGTTCGCGAGAGAAGAGCCACACTCGTCATAGGGCCCCAACCGGGGGAGGACCGCCCCGCCAAAGAACCGCGGAGATCCACAGGCCCTCCGGCGTCGACACCTCAGTGGCCCCGCCTCCTCGATCTCAATAGCCATGCAGCCGGGCCATCAGGCGCAGGGGGGGGATTGGGACGAGTTCCATATCGCGCATCCAGACCCCCCCTCCTTGCAGGACCGTTCCGATTTCGCCAGCCCGCCCGAGATACCCCGATCATTGACATTAGCAGTTCCCCGAGCCGGATGGTCCATCAAACCGGCATGGATCACATGGTGGAACTGGTCACCCTCCAGCTTGAGGCCATCAAGGGGGCGCGACATCCTGACCCGGCATGGGAGGCGTTCTGCAGCCTCCATTCGATGGATGTATAGCGGCAAGATTGGTGGGCACGCTCATCTACGAGACCGGCGGGCGGCCCAATATTATGTACCATATCCTGGTCTTCGCGGCGGTTAAGCGGAGCGGAGGCCGTACACGGAGACCCATTTGGTGCTGACGGGTCCGAGAAATCGGCCGCTGCGACGACGAATCATTCGAGCGATCGCCGATCTCGTGCCACGGGTCCTCTCGCATGTGCCGGGGGCTTTCCTTTACCCCTCCTTTGTCCAGCACCACTTCAATGAAGTGGAAGTGCCGACCAACTTGGCCGCGCTCGCGGCGTTTCTTCCTCCTCTTCCTCCCCCTCTCAATCCGAAGATTGATTACTTCCTATGATCATCCCCACCACCACCTCTTTCTTTTTCTTCTTCTTTTCCGGATCAAAAGCTCGCGCGATGATACGCGCTGTGTAAAAAAAA